CAGAATATTTGGTTTCTGACATCATGTTCTTTGTAACTTAAAACTGCGTAATTCTAAGATAGCGACTTGGCTCCATAAACTTCTTTTTATTGTAGGTGTTATTCATGACTTCTGAGTCGCCTGCAGAAGTATACAAGCTGGGCCCCCTTTCGATGAAAAGGAATGATCGGTGCATTTACATCAACTGAAAGTCATTGGCCTACTATATTTACATCTACTGGAATGGAGCAATAAATCTTGAGAAAAAAGTGACACACGCGTTTCCAAGTTGCCTAAGCACCAAGTAAAAAAAAAGAAAATATGAGGCTAGATCTGTACGGGTCGCACACTTAAAATAGTGCTCAGTAGATCTGTTGCGCGACAATGCGCGATAGTATCGAACGGAAGTACGACTTGAAATAAACAAACCTGGCGGATTTTCTACAGTTACAGAAACAGAAGGGTAGGCCTACAAAAGCGATCGGCGAAATAAAGAAGTTTAGCTTTTTGCAACAAAACTGTCTCAAAACTGAAATAAACGAAGGGCGTCATGATCTGGAGAATATTTTAAAGAATCTTTTGGCCCAAATCGCATGTCGATCGATGCAGCCATTAATTAAAAAGCCTTTTGAATAGCGAAATTCGGCCACCACAAATAGATAATAGATCTAGATTATTATTATATTACCCGATGTTGTTCTGTCCCATGGCGTGGCATTGTTGAAGACGTCTTCCTGTCTAGGACAACCACTTATGTCATCGACAACAGACGGTCTTCTTGGACAATGTTAACTGTACGGGCATAATTATAATATACGGGTATTATTATTTCACCTGATGTTGTTGTTGTTGTTGTTCTTACTGTTGTTGTTGTTGTTGTTGTTGTTGTTGTTGTTGTTGTTGTTGTTGTTGTTGTTGTTGATGGTTGATGTTGTTGTTCTTCATCTTCTTACTGTTGTTGTTTTTGTTCTTACTGTTGTTGTTGTTGTTGCGTTATGCAGTGTCTTCCTGTGTCTAAGACCACCACTTTTGTCATCGACACTGGGTCACCGTCTTGTCCAGGTGTAACTGTTTATAAACATATTATACTATTATTTCATCTCTTGTTGTTGTTGATGTTGTTGTTGATGATGATGATGATGATGATGGTGTTGTAGTTGTTGTTGTTGTTGTTGCTGTTGTTGTTGTTGTCGTTGTTGTTGTCGTTGTTGTTGTTGTTGTTGTGGTTGCTGTTGTTGTTGTTGTGGTTGTTGCTGTTGTTGATGATGATGGTGTTGTTGCTGTTGTTGCTGTTGATGTTGATGCTGCTGTTGCTGCTGTTGCTGCTGTTGCTGCTGTTGCTGTTGATGTTGTTGATGTTGATGTTGATGATGATGATGTTGTTGTTGTTGTGGTTGTTGCTGTTGTTGATTTTGATGGTTGATGTTGTTGTTGCTGTTGTTGATGTTGATGTTGATGTTGATGTTGTTGCTGCTGTTGCTGCTGTTGTTGCTGTTGATGTTGATGCTGCTGTTGTTGCTGTTGATGTTGATGTTGATGTTCATGTTGTTGCTGTTGTGTTCCACGGCAGGCCCGTCCAGAGGCAGGTGTCAGTGCGGAGGGTGTATCTGTGAGAGCGACTACGAAGGCGTGGTGTGTGAGTGCCCCACGTCCAACCAGACCTGCATCGACGACAAAGGGGTAATAGTTGGGTTTTCTTTGGTTTGTTTGTTTAAGGAAATCATCATCATCATCATCATCATCATCATCATCATCATCATCATCATCATCAT